TCCCTTATCACCAACTTAAATTTTAACTCCAAGTATTTCCTCCATTTTCTTTCATGTCACCTGTGTTCTATCCCCTCTAGTTGAATTTTTGCTTTGGTAGGAAAATCACAGGCTTACATATAGCTTTTTCATTCAGCTTTCATTTTGGTTAAGGTTCTGCCAACATCTTATTTCCCCATCTCCCATTCCACCCCACACTTGATCCTTTATGTCTCCAGTAATCTCCTTCACTACTTTCATTTTGCCTGTATTTTACTATCCTCCCTCCCATAAGGGGTCCACCCACAACATCCCTTTTCTGGTTTCCTGACTTCTACATGTACTTCAGGTTAAACATATTTAACAAAACATTTGAGGCTAAAATTCCCATATGAGAGAGAACATGTGGTGTTTATCTTTCTGTGCCGTGTGAACTTACTCAGTATAATTCTTTTTCTAGATCCATCCATTTACCTGTAAATTTAATTATTTCATTTTTCTTTAGAGCTGAGAAATATTCCATTGTGCATATGTACCACATTTTCCTTCAGTTGATGGATATCTTTGTTGATTCTGTCTCCTGGCTATTGTGAATTGAGCCATATGAATGCAGATGTGCAAGTGTCTCAGTAGTAGGATATAAAGTCCTTTGGCATGATATAGCTGGCTTATATGGTAGGTTTATTTCTAGGTTTTGAGAAACCAACAAATTGATTTCCAAAGTATCTGTACTACTTTACACCTCCATCAACAGTGTATAAGAGTTTCCCTTTCCCCACATCCATGACAGCATCTGTTGGCATTTGTTTGCCTGATCTTGGCTATTCTGACTGGAGTGAGATAGAACCTTAAAGTAGTTTTTAATCTCCATTTCCCTGATAACTAAGGCTATTGAACACACTTTTTAGGTGTTTGCTGGCCATTTTTAGTTTTTGTTTTGAGAACTTTTTGCTTGATTCCATAGCCATTTATTTTTTAATTAGGTTATTTTGTTGATGTTTAGGATTTTTTTCTAATTCTTTGTACATTCTAGACACTAATACTCTGTCCACTGTATAAATAGCAAAGATTTTCTCCCATTCTCTGGGTTGATTCTTCATGCAAATAGCCATTTCTTTGCTGTACGGAAAGTTGCTTTTTGTTGCGAGCTGAATATTTAGGGCTGCCAGGTGCAGGCTGCCCCCCACCGCCCCACCCTGTAGAACAGCCAACAGGATATTGGCAAAGCCTATCCTGTCTGACTCTAAATTAAGGAAAGTTTTATTCTATAATCATGTTGAAGATCTGTTCAATGCCATTGGCCTGAGATTCTTCTCCTTCCTGTATGCCTATAATTCATTGATTTGGTCATTTCATGTTGTCCCACATTTCCTGAGTATTCCATGCCTGTGTTATTTTGAGTTTTACATAGTCTTCACTTAAGAAATGTTCTTCAGCTTTATCATCCAGTCTTGTTATTCTGTTTTCCATTTCATTCATTCTGCTTGTGAGACTTTCTCCCGTTGTTTCTAATTGGTTTATTGAGTTTTTCAATCCTGTGTTATCTGTTCACTATTTCTATCTCTTTTGTGAATTCACTTTTCAAGTTGTTTTTGATATTTCATTAAGCCACATATTTGAATATTCTTGGGCTTCCATCATAAGTTTATGCCTTTCCTCTTTGAGTTCTTTGTGTTTTCTTGAAGTTCTTTGATAATATTTATGATTGTTCTTTTAAATTCTACATCCTGGGGTTCTTCAGGGTGGTTCTCATTGCTGTGCACTTCTGTAGGACTAGAGGATTTTGTTGAGGACCTATTTTCTTGGCTTTTCATAGTGTTTGTGTTTTTGCATTGCCATTTGGGCATATGAATTTTCTTTGTTGGTTATGTGTCCAACAGGAACTTCTGCTCTACTTTTGTTTAATTTTGGTTCTGTTAATATTCTTTATGTAGCTTAGTTACTTTTTGTTCAAGTATAGAAGATAAATTGATGGATGTTTCAAGTTCTTGCAGGGTAGTAGACTGGTGTGGATGGATGGTGGGACAGGGTAGTAGGTAGGTTGGTCAGATTAGTAGGAGGACTGGTCTATGCCAGATAGATCAGGAGCCAGTGGAGTTTATGCTAGGGAGTTTAGCTAGTCTGGGTTAGGAAGGCAGTCCAGGGATCTGAGGTGAAGTCATTGGAGCCTGCCTGAGTTCAAGGCTGGCAGGGGACAGGGTGGGGGTGGGTAAGAGGAATAGAAAGGCCCTGGGTGGGATCTGACTTACCAGGGTCCTGCCTGAGTGGGTCTACCTGCCTGATCCGGAGGTTGGGAAGGTGGCAGTGGCGGGGGGGGGGGGGGGGGACTCCTGGGGAGGAGGGACTTAGGGAATCTATGGTAGATTGTTTAGCTAGTCTGGGTTAGGAAGCCAGTCCAGGAATCTGAGGTGAAAGAGTTGGAGTCTGCCTGGGTCCAGGGCTGGCAGAGAGAGGACAGCTTGAATTTTTCTTGTTCCTGATGGCCCAATTATTGCTTCTGGGTAATGATCTAGTCATACCTCATTCAGGAAGAAAGGTACTCCTAAACAACACATAGTGATGCCCCTTTGACCTGAAAGAAGCCACAAAGGGGGACATATGCTTTATCGTCAGAGAAAGTCTGCTAGAGTTGGGTTCCAGCTGGGAAGAAAGCTTCTTGGGGGCACTTGGTGCCTTGGTTATCAACTAGATCTGATGCTCTCTTGACACCTACTGCTGGCTTCATTCTTAATTATCCAGATGTCACTCAGAAGAAAATCATTAAGAGGTCATTTTGACCACCAAGTAGAGTAACCTTGAACCTGCCGTATTATTTAACAAATAATCTCGTTCTGCAAACAATGCCTTCAGATCTGTTTCTAACCCTTTCCCTTGGCTGTGTATTTTTTTAGCCTGTTTTCTAATTTTAAAAACCAAACACTCAAACTGGCTGTTAAAAAATAAAAACCTTTTCACATAAAAAAAGAATGAAAGAAAGCCCAAATTTCATAATCATTGTCTCAAAGAAATGACACATGTAAGATTCTTTTGGAATGTAAAAATGGTTCTTGCTATTTCAATATATAAAAGTTCAATTCACCTATCCAGCAGGACAAATATTAGCAAAAGTAAAACACTTATGACAGAGTTGAAACTAGAAAAAAAATTAACTTTGCATCTTTTCTCATGATTCATGTCCATTTGCCTACACTGTCTGTCCTGGTTTGTTTCTTCATTGCTGTGACAAAATACTCTGACCAATATCAACTTGTGGAGGAAAGGATTTATTTGTCTTACATCTCCCAGGTCGCAGTTCATCAGGGAACCCAAGGTAGGAACTCGGGCCAGGAACCTGGAGGCAGGAGCTGGAGCATAGAGGAACGCTGCTTACTGGCTTGCTCCTCTAGCCCCTGCTCAGCCTGCTTTCTTATGCAACACAGGCCCACCCGCCCAGGGGTGGCACCACCCACAGTGGGCTGGGCCCTCCCACATCACTCATCAAGAAGATGCCTCTCAGACATGGCCACAGGCCAGTCCAATAGAGGCAATCCCCCAATTGAGGCTCCCTCAACCCAGGTGTGTCAAGTTAACACTAAAGCTATCCAGCACACTGTCTTTCCTCATTACCTAATAAAGAATTTTTTAATAACATTTTTCAAAATGTTTCATGTTGCCCAAGTGTTTTCCAAGAAACACTTCATAACATGATTTCCTAATCACTTAAGATCTAATTATAAATATCCATGAGATCAGTATTAATTTTTAAAATATTTTATTATTTTTATTTTATGTGTATGAGTGTATGTATGTAAGTGCATCTGTGCAATGTCCTTGTAGGTCAGAAGAGGGCATTAGATTCCCCTGGAACTGAAGTTACAGACAGTTGTGGGTGCTGGGAATCGAACCCAGGTCCTCTGGAAGAGCAGCCAGTGCTCTTAACCACTGAGCCATCTCTCCAGTCCCCCCATAGTAAATATATTACTCTTTCCTTAGCGTAGCACACTAGGAAACAATATATGAAGTGAAGAACGTGGAGTACAAAGTACAATGCAATGGCTTCAGCAAGAAACACATAAGAAACTCATCACTCCATACATGAAGAGGTTTTAATATAGTTAAAGTAGTTTTTGCCATTACCAACGTGGCCATCCAAGAACAATAGTCTTTGTTCTGTTGTTAGGTTTTTGTTTGCTTGTTTGTTTGTTTGTATTGTTTGAAATGTGGTCTCATTATGTATCCCATACTGACCTCAAAATCAAAATCCCCCACCAGTGCCTCCTGAGTGCTGGGATTGCAGCTGTGTGCCATCACATTCAGATGGAAAAGTCTTAATGGAGAAAGATGAAAGCTACTTTATTTACGATCATTATAACACAAACTGAGTAGATAGGAGAGAAAGGGAGGCTACAAAGTTGGGAATAAAAATTACATTTCCCTGTGTAATGACTAGCAATTCTAGTATAATGTAAGTAAAATTAGATCATAGAATGTTGGTTATGAAGAAGTTACTTTGTTTTGTGTTGTGTTTCTTTTGTTTTGTTTTGAGATAAGATCTCATTGTGTAGAACTCGCTACGTAGACCAGGCTGGCCTTGGACTCGTAGACAGATCCAACTGCCTCTGCCTCCAGAAGGGCTTGGATTAAAGGCATGAATCATGAGGACATTTTAGAAGATGTAACAAAGCTATGTGCACTATTGGGAAATAAAGACCAAGGAATCCAGAAAAAGCCCAGAATAAATGGATTGTCTCCTTCTGAATGGAAAAAATATGTTGGAGGGGTCCAAAAAGGAAACCTGAAACCAGGGTTTCAGGACCGGACCTGCGGCCTGAGAGCTGCCCAGGCGATCCTGGATCTCCTCTTCAAGCCTCCAAGAGAGACCTCTGTAAGAAATATCCCTATAGGCCCTAAGATATACACATGCAATTCATCAAAGACTGCTAAATCCAAGCACAGATTCCCAAGATCAGACACTCACTAGATTGAAAAATAAAATGGACAATTCTAACATTGTTTTTAATATTTTATTGAAATATGCTTTGACCCAATTACAGCTTCCTAAGTGAAATGTACATAAAGTCTGAGCCTGATAGTATTCTGCTCTAATTATACCTTAAATCCCTGAAAATGTGATGGCTGAAATTTTGAAAAGTGAACCTAGGACAAGGGTATACCGAGGACCCATGTTCCGTGTCTGTATTCTTGAATGTGGATCATGAGTAAGAAACCTTCCAATAATACTGAAGAGCACAGCGGCCAGAGTGGAACAACTTAGAGCACTTCGGGAAGAGGGAGGAAAAAGAGTTTCAAAAACTACCACAATGCGGAGAACCTGCCTAGACTCCTAGGTAATCTGACAGGTTGTCACACATTCTGTGCTAATGTGCCGCACGTAAGCACCAGCATCAGAGTCTTTCAAGAGATCTGTCCACCTGTCATCAGGCTCCCCTCTCAGAGCTTCAGTGTAATTTGTAAGGCAAGTTTTCCTCCCCTATGCTTATGAGGAAGCGGCCAAAATAACTAAGGGTTTCTCAACAACATCTCTCATCTCTTTTAATTGCAAGAGTATATATATATATATTGTGTTTGCTTGTAGTCTTCAGTAGAACAATAATACTTAAAACCTTTTCATGTCTTTTTAAGTCTATCTTTAAAGCAGTTTCTATGCATACAAATGACTAGGATTAGTTCCTCATATATTCCCATAAATTTAGAAAACATTACCTAAAGGTATTTTACATTGTAAAAAGCCAGAATGTACTTTAAAAGATCTTTAACAATTGTTATTCATACTCGCTGAGAAATTGAACACATGCTTTGCTCAGTTAGTAAGTGGCTGGTAGCTGTCCACTCTCTGCAGAAGTGTATCTAAGTACCCAGGGGAATAGTACCTGAAAAAGGAAATTTGCTGTTAGATACCTAGGAAAAGATTTCAGAGCAGACACAAAGATTCTATGTAAGAACTTACTGAAATAATTTTCTAAGTCAAACCTCACGTATGTTTTGTTTGGTTGGATTCTTTTTGAGACAAGTCCTCAATAGGTAGCACTGGCTGGCCTAAAACTGGCTATGTAGACCAGGCTAGCCTCAAACTCACAAAGATCCTCCTGCCTCTGCCTTCCAGGTCCTGGGACTAAAGGCATGCATCACCACATCTGGCCCTCACATATGGTTTTAACAATTTTCTCCAGTAATTCCTTATGCATATGGTTAGAGACTATGAAGAAAAATAGCCCTGTACCACAGAAGGGGCAATGACAAAGGAGATGTTTTCCTATCAGTCCAGTGATATTTCATTTCAGATTATTCTCACTATATCAAGTGAGTAATGTCATTTTTAAAGGATCACAGCTAACAGATTTTTTTCATATATATTAATAACTTATCATTACCAATTAACTTCTGCACTCCAATTGTATCATTATTAATTATTATTATTTGAGATAGGTCTCCCTGTAGCCTCCAGCTAGCCTGGAACTTGCTATGTAGACCAGTCTGACCACAGTCTCACAGAGATCTTTCTGCCTCTACATCCTGAATGCTGGGATTAAAAGTGTGCACAATCATGCCTGACACCAATTGCTTTATAAATCATTTATTAATACATATTTTAATTATATCTGGTGACAATTCACATTGAATAACTAATAAATGCTTTATAAATATTCTTATAAACTAGAAAATTAATCACTTTCATTGGGTCTTAGGCATATATAGTGCTATAAATTTATATTTCTAGATTCAACATTTTATAAAAGGTCTACTATAAAAGTATTAAATATAATGATT